TGTACATCTACAATAGCCACAACAATTTTTCTGTGATGGTACCATCTGTACCACTTTTCTGTGATTGTGCCAGGTTCTGTTCTATATTTAAATCAAATGTAGCCATTTTTAAAAAGAAACTTCAATAATTTCTTTTTTGTACTCATTTTTAATCCTAGTTAAACGAGACATATTTTGGATGAAACATTATTCATCGTCAGTTTACAAGAATACAAAAAGAAAATGAGCAATAAACAGTTAAACAGTGTGCCATGAAAATAAGAATAATTAAGGATTAAGGCATGAAACAGATAAGAAGTGAAAATATAAGACGAAAATAACAGAAACTTATTAATCTGAAAGGGATAAATTAAGATGCTCTCTCTCTGTGTTCAGTTTGAACATTGCTCATCAAGTTGTCAGATTTAATCTTAATTGAAGCTTGATAATTCACACTGCTTTTACTTTGAGCCCTGTGTCTATCAAGCAAAAGTACAAAAGTAGCCTTGAATGTTGTAACGTCTCAGAATCATCATCAGATCTGTGGTTTCATGTGGCTTGGATATATGGAATTGCTGGGCTTTTTCCCTAGGCTGTGACCATGCTGTTTTTCAACAGGTTTGCAGCTTAATATGGGGTCTGCTTAATACAGGTTTGACTGTAATCCTAGTGTTCAATTTTTCTCTTTAATATATAAACTTGTTCACTCTCAGAAAGGTTACCTTAAACCCTTGTGGGTGCCTTATTGGGCTTCTTAAACTTGGCTGCCAAAAACTATTTCTCAATGTGAAACTTATAAAATGCAGTGTCCAATAAAAATGTTAAAAAAAAAAAAAGAATAAAAGGTGGATACCAGCCTAGACTAGAGGAACTCATATGGTTCTCTTCATTCTTGTGCCCTCCCATTACCTTGCAAGTCTTTGTTATTTTGATGAATGTGCACTTTAGAAACATTGGTTATTAATTAAATCTAATATTTGATGTTCTTGTTTCATTTTGAAGGATACACAAGAAAAGCTGTGGAAGCTTGGAAAATTGAATCATGTTGCAATTGCTGTTCCTGATCTGGGTAAATCATTTATAATAATTAAACAAGTCTGATTTTTAGTAACTATAATTCCAATTTTCAGGGGATAGATTGTTATGGTAGCAAAAAGATGCATGCATATTCATACAATTTACTTGCTTTGTGTTAGTCTCTCAGTGCCACTTCTCATACTGAAAAGTCGTTTCTCAATTACCTGCCTAGGTCAAGTTTGCTGAAAGCTTTAAGAGTTACTGTAACCAAGATTGGTTCTGCCTCAGGGCACCTTTAGATTTAGTTGTTTTCTCTGTACAACAAATAAGGAACCTGATATTGACTGGCTTGATTTGTATTCATTGCAGATCAAGCTAGTAAAATGTACAAGAATGTGTTAGGTGCTGATGTTAGTGATGTATTGGTGAGTAAAGTTTAGATTTAGTTATGGAATTTAACTGTTTCCGTTCAACGTCCTTTGTGTGGTAAATATTTTGTGTTCTTTGTATTTTTAGGATCTTCCAGAGCATGGAGTTTCCACTGTTTTTGTGAACTTGGGAAACAGCAAACTTGAGGTACAATAAGGAGATGATATCCTTTTTATTTAATAGTTTCTGTTATGTCACTTTTGGTAATCTCCTTGAGCTGCACATTGAAAAAAAAAAAGGTTTTAGTTTAACTACAATTTTACTAGTTTCCCTGTCAAACACCGAAGTCCCATTTTTGAATCAAGCTATACCACACCAATTGTCAGGTCATAACGTCTGTCTTTTACACACAAAAAAGTAAATTTTGTTACTTGTATCAGTTTCAATGATATTAAAATTAAAAAAAAAAACAAGACACGAAAGAAAACAGGGTTATGTTGCATAATATCAATGTTTCTTCACTGTCAGCTTTTACATCCCTTGGGGGAAAACAGCCCAATAGCTGGTTTTCTAAAGAAGAAGGCAGATGGTGGAATTCATCACATCTGCATTGAGGTCAGATAATTCAATGTCTTTGTTATATATGTGGATGTTTGTCATTGTTACTTCTGCTAATTTTAAGACATAAGACACGTATAGTACCAGTAATTCTCATGCCTTGGGTTTGAGCTCTCATACTGGAAGGTCAAAAATGTTAATCCCATGCCTACTCACGACTACAAACCACTTTCTCGTGCCTACATGTAGCTGACAAATTAGAGCCACTACAGCTTTAACTCACAGTGTTTCAGAAGAAGTATATTAACTGAAACCAAGAAAAGAAAAAAGCTTGTGTAAATGATAGTACATTTCTTCAAATTCTCCAGTTTCCAAGGGAAAACTACTGGCA